GGGGCCCTGGGACCTCCCACCACCACGCTGCAGCCAGAGGCTTGGTTGGAGGGTCTGGGAGGGACTCTGACGCTGGTGGCTGAGTGCCAGGATCAACCTGGGATTCCTAGCTGGTAAGAGTAGATAGTCTGTACTGGAACCCAAGTCTGCTCTCGGACTGGAAGCACCGACACTCCAGACTGAGATGGTTTGGTTGCATGCAGGTTAAGACAGAAGTTCTCTTCCCCAGCTCCGCACTTCCTCTGTGTTAGACCCTGAGCAATGACTCAACCTTTTTGAGCATCAGCTTTCCTACTTGTAAGGGGCTTTCTGTCTCTTGGGGCTACTGGGAGTCAGTGGCTGACAGGGCTCCAGGGCCCCATCCATAAGCTCACCAAGCTGGCAATCTTCGTCCCTTTTCCACCCAAACCCCTGGACCCTCTGTCTCTTTCTGGCCCCTGATCTGTCCCTGTGTCCGGGTCTCCGTTTCCTCTCTGGTCTCTGTATTGCTCCCATCGTGGACCCTGGGGCCCTAAGGGGAGGGGAGGAGAGCCTGGCCTCTGCCAGGGAGTGCAGAGGCGAAGGGGCAGATGTGGGCTGGGTGCCTAGCGTGGGCCTCAGGCTGGGCTCAGTGTTAAAAATTCCCAAGAGCTTCTTTGTGTGTGCTCTCTGATATCGGCTCCTGGTCTTGTTCCCCGAGTTCACTTCCACTTTCGTCTCTGAGCTATTTGAGAAGACCGGTACTTGTTTATCTCGAAATTTTCTTCTCCTTCCTCCCACCTGCTGTCTCGCGTCGCTCTTTGACTCTATTGCTTCTCTGCTAGCTTTCCTAGATGCCGGTGTTGGCTTTATATTTCAAGTGGACACGAAAGGGCGGATTGTTTGCCTGAGGGTGGAAATGGACCCCGGGAGGCCTGGCTTTAGAGCTATTGCTCTGGGGAAACTGCTGTCAGTATTTTTGAGTCTCTCCTCTTGCGCCTGTCAGATCCCAGGGAAACTTCCACCCTCCTGCCTGGGGGCAGGCACTGACCTGGCTGCCTCATACTCAACAAACGCTCACTCACCCGCCTCTTTTCTATCAATACTCCCTCAACTGCGCCCAATGGTCTGTATCGGGCCTGTTGTTTACCCTCTCTGGAAAATAAACCTTTGCCTCCTGCTGGGCATCAGGACAGGATTTGGAAACATAACCACTTCTTTATTGCTTTACCGGATTTAGGTTCACATTCCCTTGCACCCCAAAGGCATCTGATCCTTTGGAAGGGTCTGTGTTGAAGAATCTGGCCGCTTCTTGGCTTTTCCTGCAGCCAGCTCTGCTTTCTCAGGCTCACGGTTCCCATTCAGACATCTGCTCTCCAGCTCCCAGAATTTTGACACTGTTGTCAGGGGTGATAATCAAAATATTTAACAAGAGCTCCTAGGGACTGAGCTGGGAGGCTGGAGAATTGCACCTTTCAGGTCCAGGGGAGGTGCTAAAGTGTTGGGAGGGTGGGTGCGCAGTAGCTACTGCCCCACTGGACCAGCAGTACTTCAGCTATGGTTGTGCTGTGCCAAACATCGCTCCTACCTTCAACAACAAAATCTTTACTGTTGTTTTAGTGGGGTTTCAAGAGGGAGCAAAAGTCAATGTGTGCGTTCAATGGGCTCGGATTACCCGCAATGTCCACTTCGCTTCTTAGGGTTGAGGCCTCTCTCACCTGCAGAAGAGCAAGATGGGCAGCAGGAAGGCTGTGCCCGGTGAGGAGGGCGGAGGAGGCAGCCTTTTCTGGTGCCCTCATGCAGAGGCTGCTCCATGCTTTTGATCCTAGAGCAGGGGTGGGCAACCTTTTTGTGAGTGCGTGCCAAAACCAGCAAAATCTCTGACTCAAAATTCTTCTGCGTGCCAACCCTAATTTTTTGAGAACATGTTACACCTACTTGATATCTCTTAAGGTGTATGTATGTGAAGAACCTTGAAGAAATAATAAAATTCATTCGAGTGACAAAAACACAGTATATGATGATGAAAAATACATTTACTTTTTAATGTATACATGTACACTGATAGTCGGACAGAAAACTTTATGACTCCATTTGATATTATCAGTGGGACTTTTGCTGCTGCATCACTGATGACAGAGATTTTACATCAGGTTTATATTTCATGACCTTCAGAGATATGCATGAGCTACTACTTTCATCCGTCAGGCTACTCCTATTATGAGACTTGACAAAATTCATCACTGAGAACAAAGGTTCACAAGCGTATGTGGATGAAACCAAAACACTGGTCGGATCTAGGAAGGCAGGGAGAGTTAAGGCAGAGGCATAGAAATTGCTCTTCCCCTCTCTCGTCAACCATGTCTATGGTCTTTAAGATAACTTGTGTCTCTAATCACTTTTTTTCAATGTTTTCCAAGTCAACTCTAAGGTCAATAAATTTCTGCTTCCAAATTGAGGCAGAGGCATAGAAATTGCTCTTCCCCTCTCTCGTCAACCATGTCTATGGTCTTTAAGATAACTTGTTATGTAAAATTATTTATTTATTTAAGATGCACCTACACTGAATTTATCTGAAAAATAAAAAAGTTGATATTAAGAAAAAAATTGTAAATGGAAGATTATAAGAGATGTTTCGCGTGCCAGCAAAAGTTACTGGCGTGCCATGTTTGGCACGCGTGCCAGGGGTTGCCCACCCCTGTCCTAGAGCAACTGTCTTAGCTATGGCTTGGAGCCATTGATGGTTTGGTGAGGTGTGAAGTAGGCTTACAGACAGCAGGAAGTCAGACATTAGGAAGCACTTCCCAGCCAGCCAGGGCTGTAAGGCCAGAGAATAGAATGATCTGGGAGGCTGGGTGGTCTCCCTTCCAGAAAAACTTTAAGGCCTGGTGGGACCCTGGGTGACCTGGACAGAGGGCGCCTGCCCTGCCCCATGATTGTTGATTAATTGATTTCCCTGTACCGCCTCCCTTCCTTTTCCATTAACAGAAAGCTGCTCTCCATGGGAGGCAGGTTCCCCTTCTGTGAGGCTAAGGGACAACCCCTTGCAGAAGAGGAATTTAGGGGTGTGAGAGGCAGAGATATGAGGAGCTCTGAGGACCTAGAAAGAGGCCCAAAGGTGGGGAGAGGCCCCATGAGGCAACGGTCCCTGGGGCCCAAGGCTGCAGGGAGAGAGGGGTGTCCTCCAGGGAGGTGGGAGACTTGAGGAGGAGGACTCGGGGTGGTTCATACCTCCAGGACAGCTCCCATCCTGACATCTTTTTACGGTATAGTCAAGCATGGCATAGACAAGAATTTCCTGTCAACCCTCATTTGCATATTCTTTTGCATCCAATTTGCATGTCATTTGGGGTCCAAAATGGCCAGAAACGTCCTTTAGCACCAGCTTTCCTCTTTCTGAGGGGGCTCAGCTCTACCCCCTTCCATTCTTTCTTGCCCTGGTCCTAGCACTGGGCTGTGTCCTCCCAGACACTCGCCTTGTCCTTTGGGGCATGTATATCATGTATGCATGTGTATGCTGTATACAATTCCTCTTTTCTGGGCCCATTTTTGCTTCATTTCTTGGGCCCCTTAAACAAAATGTGCCACCTTTCTAACCAATTCCCAGTCCTTTCTTACAAACTTTCTGGAACAGTAATGGTGTTCCATCAGCCTTTTTTAAAAAAAATATATTTTTATTGATTTCAGAGAGGAAAGGAGAGGGAGAGAGAGATAGAAACATCAGTGATGAGAGAGAATCATTGATCGGCTGCCTCCTGCACGCCCCCTACTGGGGATTGAGCCCGTAACCCAGGCATGTGCCCTTGACAGGAATCGAACCTGGGACCTTTCAGTCGGCAGGCCAACGCTCTATCCACTGAGCAAAACCAGCTAGGGCTTTTTTTTTTTTTTAAAGAGGGCTCCATCCTGTCCTCCAAATTGCTTCATAGCTCCCCCCATCTCCACCCCATCCTCTGCCTGTGCACCCTTCGCTCTAGTCCCCGCCCCCTCTTCCCCCCCCCGCCCCCCCACCCCCCTCCCCGGGCAGGAAGCTTAAGGAAGGGGACAGGCTGATGCTGGACAGAATCAGGTCTGGGTGAGGAAGAGGAGGGATTCCTGAGGGGTAAGGAGCAGGTGTCTGGACGGGAAGTGGTTCCCGACCCCTGGGATATAAGATGACCACAGATGGTGGGAATAGGTTTTGGTTTCTATAAGAGAAACCATACAGAGGGTGCTGAGTTAAGTGAGCCTGGAGATTTGGGGACCAGGGGAGTAGGACAGCCTATTTTCCTGCTAGAGTGAGCAGGGACTTCTAATACTGAGGTTCTTATGTTGAGTCATGGAAAGTTCAAATCTCAAACCTCATTTGGGGTTCAGAGGAGAATGGGGAATAGCAGGGAGGAAACGGGGCTTCTCTGGCAGTGTGGTGCCTCACTGTAAGTTCTGCCTGTTGTCTAACTTGAAGATCTCCTGCTTCAGGCATGACTCATTTCCTCATGTTTGTCTTCAGTGTGGGGTGGGAGCTCAGTAACTCACTGACATGCTTCCTCTTCTGTCTTCTCTGCTGGAGAAGCACCCTTCAAGTCCTCTCTTCTTGCGTTCCAGCCTCTTCTGGGCTTCTATCTCCTCCCCCTCCTCGCCCCCCCTGCCCCCCCCC